TTTGCAAAGTAGTTTCCTGCATCTTTCAACGAGCTGGCTGCACAGTGTGACCGACACCTCACTAATGGGCTAAATTTTAAATAGACTACCTTGTTACTGATGGAAAGGATGAAGAGAAAGCTGCAGAACCCAACTGAGGAAGGGCAATGCAGGACCCCTCCCACGACTTTTCAAGCTGATTTTGTCTCGGACAACACACTAGCAGGAATACTCATAGTCCTTAGCCAAGTTTTCCTGGTGTGAAGCATCTCTAGTGCCAGGCAGAGCTTCAGACAACACTTCAGCACATGCGCTCAGCGCACACGGGGACTAACGCACACACATCGGCAACGCGTGCCTGCAAAGCATCCAAGGGAACAGCAAATAGCAGCTCCTTGCCCATATTACAGGGAGAAAGTTGTAAGAGAAATTATTTGGAATTAGAAGATTGTTATTTTTTCTCAAAAAATTAAAAATTTTTTCTCAAAAAATTTTCTCTAAATTGCTCTTTACACAGAAAAAGCAGTGGATGAAACTGGCTCATAACCTCCTACTACTGGCAACAGTGCTGGCTCGTCTGCATGGATGGAGCTGGGTGATTTTAATGACAATTCAAGCTCATGCTGAGCTCCGGAGTGGAAATCTAAAACCAACCTCCTCCAAAGGCCAGACATGTTTAACTTCCAAGGTTGCGGTTTTGAGTCTCTCTCTTTTCAGGCTGTGGAAATGTCAAGATCAAACTAAAACAGCTCCAGGATTTTCATAGACAGGGGACAAAGAAGCATCCCACACGTTCAGCACGTTATCCTCAAGAGAACCTCCCTGCAAAAATGGAAGAGCTGACCTGTGAGCCCCACCTTGGGCACCACAAGCCCGCAGATCCAGATGCAGCCTCCACACAGCTCTTTTAAAAATCTCTATTTAAGAGGGGCCCAATCTCCAAGCTGTGGCCAGCTTTCAAACACATCCACTCCTCAGGCAAACATGGTCCTCTGACATGGGGCAGGAGGGCAATCCAGCTCAGAGCCAAGCTCAAGCAAAGCAAACATCAACCTCAGCTGGAAGCAAAGGAGAGCCTCCAGTGAGAAGTTTGGGGATTTCCCCAGGCCACGAAGGGCACGACACAGATACTGACAGGCAGGAATTTGGCTGCGTCTTCCTATCCTTCTTCTGTAACAAGATCTCCAGTGTCATCTTAGCTTTGAGGGACTCAAATCTGCTCTATGCAGCAGCCAAAGTTTAGCTGAGGGCTACTCACTCCCAGAAGTGTCTCTCTGGGTTTTGTCTCATGCAGCCCTGTCCAAACCACTTCTAGCAGGCTATGCTTGTGTGCTTGTCTGCCAAAGAGATTCAATCCATCCCAAAATGGCAGCGCCTTTCCTCCTCATCTGGTGGCCAAAATCCACCACCACCAAGTCATTGACAGTTTTAGTGTCAGAGCTTTCCCAGTTCGAGTTTTGCTTGCTCTTAGGAAAGTGCCTTAAACCAAGCTCTCTGTGCCCTTTCCACTGATGCCGCTTTCTCCAGAGTACCTCGTTTCTGGTCTTTGGTTTGGTAATGACCCAACCTCACTGCACGACAGCAGGATCTGTGGGGGGAGCGAGCGCAGAGCAATTCTCTGCCTGTTCTCGCAGCTCTGCCTCGCCAGCATGGAAATACTGCCACTTCTTTGCTCTCCATCCAATTCTCAACGGTGCAGCTGATAAAGACATTTAAAGGCATGAAAGGAAATGAAAGCGCTCCGTCCCGCTGGAAGCCACCAGGAGCTGGATATCAAACCTTCATTTGTGCTTTTGGAAGTCTTCCTCCAGGGCTTTAGTGCAGCAGCGAACAACCGACGTGCAATCTATTCACTGTTCTCCCCCGCTTATTTCACAGCTTGAAGAGAGGCGATAAACCTAGGGACACTTCAGCTCAGCCAGTTTTGCCTGATTTGCCAATTTTTGTTGCCGTTCTGTGTTCCAGCATCAGGACTTCTGCAAATTTTATTTTTATTTCTATTGTCAGTGTCCCAGCACATAAATGGGAGCAGAGTGCCATCCTGCCACCCTGCAGGACACCAGCATCAGTGCTGGCTGGTGGCAGAGCTCCCACATAAACCCTCACATCTGGACCCTCTAGGAACAGGCATTTTAAAAAACATCTGTAAGACAAAAGGGATTCTATATATCTGATTGTGTTCTTGTAGGTATTGGTTATTTTTTCTTTAATCTTTTCATTTTTGTACTATCTGGCCTTTTTGCATGGCCTGGGAACCTGCAAGAACATTTTGTCTGACAGTACAAAGTAGAAGGTGGGGGAAGAAGGCGTGCTTCCTACTCTGAGACTTGCCTTATGTTTCTATGCAATTCTTGGAGAGTTTCTCTGGCCAAATTACTCAAATTACAAATTGCCGTCTGGCTTATCCAGGTTGTCACAGCTTCTGAGGCTGAGACTGTCACTCTATGAGGCACTGAAAATCTGCCTGTTTAATTACCTCGGTTTCCCTGTTCGTAAAGGGAAGGTAAGATCTTCTTCCACATCTCAACTCATTAATACTTGTAAATTGTTCTGAGATTATGGGATAGCTGGAACTATTTATAGGAGTGCAAAATGCCATTTCTATTAGGTGCAAGTTGCTATGCCCTTAAAATACACTGAGCATCATAATATGTAGCAAATGGGACATCTTGTTTTACATCAGCCAAGAAATGCTAAGCGGCTCTGTGCTTCCTAGTTGCTTATTTTATTCTTTTTGCCCTGAAAAACTCATTAAGGAAATGTACTGGGCCAGACTGTGATGTTTAGCAAGAGTCGTAATCTCTCTCGAAGTTCCCAGCCCACAGGGAAAAGGATGTCCATGTGAGCAAATCAAACTCCTCTCCCGACAGCTCTACAAAATGCAGAGCTTTACAATTTGCTGTCAAAAGAGAGGGATGTGAGCCACAGTTACGGTCCTTCTACACCTCTTAAAGGAGATTTCCATTCTGTGGGTATACATAAAGAACAGTCTCTGCTCTCAGCCCTTCCAGAGAAGGGGAACAGAAGATCCTTTGAATCTCAGCTTTCCTCAGCTGCCTTCTACGGAGTGACCAGGAAGAACTTTTATTGGCTCATTCTCCTACAAATGAATTTATTTTGATTCCTTCCAAAGGGTTGCATAGAGTCTGTCCTCATTTCTGTCTGGAAGAGTTTTGTGAGAGGCCGTTTCGACAAGGCCGCCGCAATAATTCATGCCATTTGCAGACAATTTGTAAACCCTTACAGTGTCCCAGAATGATTCATTATTTTTCTAAGAATATGAAGCAGTGTATGTGTGTGTGTTTGTGAATATGCATGCTCATCAACAGTGAAGACAGGCAGCTCCCCTAGGCCCAGAGGCAGGAATAAAGATCAGCACAGATTTCTTCTTTGTCATGTAGGGTTTTTGTGGTATTTCAGTTGTTTCACCCTTCACATTTCAGGTTTTAAATGAACCCAAAGCAGAAGGTAGCAGTCTTTTTTGTTTCCGTGTCTCCTACAAAAGACTCTGGAAGACCCAGTCTACCATGTCCCAAAGGTATAATCCTATGTAAATAACTTATTCTAATGATGATCATTGGCTTTGGCTTCAGCCACTCAGAAGAGCAATTAAAGCCATCCCGCATCCTAGATTACAAGGCCTAAACTTAATCTCCGTTAAGTTTTCAATACGATTAGTTTTATATCAGCTTTCAAACCAAACAGCACCTTGATGGTAGTTTCTGGATGAACATACACTAACCCAAGCAAGTTCAGAACAAGGAATCTACAAATCCTAGGATTTGGAATGATTTCCTAAAAGCTATCTCAAATATTCTCCATAAACACCCATCCAATACAAACTAATCCCAAAGGGAAGGCTCATGGGAGCAAAAATCAGAGCAATTGCCAGAACAAATGTTCAGGATTTGCTTGGGACTGTAGTCCAAGCCCTCTTTTGCAGCAGGATACAAGAAAAAAATCCATGTAGGCTTTCCCTAGCTGTACTAAGTCTGGAACCTTTTAGTATTGAGCACCAGAACCTCTTCCCTTTTCACATTATTTAGGTTATTGCTGCAGGTGCTAAAAATTATTTGCTCCCTGCTGTTACACATACAGTTGTGTGAGAAATGTCATGCACTTCCCAGTTAAACAATTAGAAGACCATGCCAACATGTATTGTGGTGCATGAGAAAAATAACAGCAATCCAATTCTTTTGATGCTTTTCATCACTAAAATGATTTTCTGGCAACAGTAAAGTTGACTGGGCATTCCTTGGGAGCGACTGACTGTCAGGGGGACCAGCAGAGAAGAGACTGTTGGTTATAACAAGTTTTAAAAGGAAGTATCCAGCCTTCACTAGGTAAGACATTTTCCTCTCCTTGCCTGCCTCATGATCATCCCCTTTGCTATTATACTTGCATACCCAATGGTACCTCCCTCAAAAGGTTTTGTTAAGTCTGATTTGTCTGGCTAAGAAAATGCCAGCTGAAAGAATAAACTTGAGGAGGGTGCAAGTACAAACACTCACACAGAAGATTTTAAAAATTATCCTGTTGTGTGGTTGTAGAAACCAGTCTCCCCACAAGTTTAAGAGTCCAAATCCCACATGAAGGGAGGAGAAAGTCATGTGAGAGGCTAAAGAAATCCAAAGCAAACATGAATATTAGCTTTGTTGTACAGTCCTGCAAAACCAGCTGGGTAAAGTTACTCTTTGGGTTGGTTTGGTTATCAACATCTCTTGCCGTACTGCAGTGACCCTTTTGACTTTAATTTCACCACTATGCATCAGCTTCTGTTGTCTCTCCAGCTTATTGTTAGCATCAGTATTAAGCTGTTCTAACAGGAGGTGTGATTAGCTTGTGTGGTTTTAAGCCATGATTCCACAGTGAAAAAAACCTGATACACATAATACAAATTATAATAATCCTATACAGTCTAAACAAGCTTTGGGACAGCTGTGCAAAAACAATATTGAAAGCTTTGTCTCTTATGGGATGAGAATGAGGCTGATTTCTTTAAAACACATAATTTATCCTACCTTACTGGCTTTCAGGATCTCAAACATCAGAGGCAAGCCTTGTGTGATGAGCTCCTCTGTGTACTCTTCTTCCTGAATGGACTTGAATTCCTTTAGCAAGCACTGGATGAGGGGTCGTCGGTGCTGCTGGAAGGACGTGCGCAAGGACTCCAGCCACGTGTGCAGTGTCCAGGGAACACCTAGAGATGGGGGACAGAGCTCATTCCCAGCTTCAGAGAAGGATGTGCACTTCTGCTTTTTTACCTTTAGTTATGTTAAGATTTTAAGCAAAAGCTGCCAAATAACCCTAGAAATCAAATTCCTATTTATCCCTGATTGAGAAGGCTGGTGGTTATCAGGACATCCCAGACCGAATGCACAGAGGCTTTCCTCCAACTGCTAAGAGAAGACTGTGGCCTCTCTGCTCATCTAGCCTTCAGCTTCTCTGCTGAGACTGCCAATTTGTGGTAATTGCTGTGGTGCTCTGTGATGCAAAAACCTTTTGGAAACTAGATTTACATTAGCTCATTTGTTTGAATGTGGCCCTGGAGAGCCATTAAATGGTAAAAAAACCAATTTTGGTCACTACCCACCTGGATTCAAACTGGTGGTCTTGAGATTAAAACTTTCTTTAAGTGCTACCCCATGTCCTCTCCTGATCATTACTATTTTCCCTAAACAGCACTGGGCAAGTTAAGCAGATCAGCCTTTTCAAGTAGTTTGTCATGGCAGAACCACTCTCCAAGAACTTAAAGGGAACTGCTCCCCTGCACTGATTGAGAAAGCACACAGAGCTAATGTACCTCTGCAGGCACTAGGCTGGAGGTGACCTAGTTTCTGCTCTTGCAGAACGGAGTGGGAGGAAACACAAGCGTGGCGTTTGGCTACAAAAGCTTTTTCCTTCCACTTCAGCAAATGTCCAGCACCTGGAGAGCAGCCCCATTGCTCTCCTCTCCCTTATCGCCCGGTGCTTTGCCTGCTCAGCCCAGCCGGTGAGCCACCGCTCAGACCACTGCATGCCCCAACCCACAGCAGATGTCTCCAGGGCTGGAGCGGTGCACCAGGCAGAGGCGTGCCAGGCACCCAGGTCTCTCTCTGAACGCAGATTAGCAGGGATGGTAAACACACAGTCCAGACTGATTCCCCTCCATGCTACCCAGCCACCCTCCCCACAGGCAGAAGGGACTTCCCAACAGGCTGGTATGATGTTCGAGCTCCGCTTTGGCACAGTTAGCACACCGAGGAGCCAGTGCCCCGCTCCTGCTCTTTGAGGCTCACAAACCTCAGAAAATAAATATGTTTTCATGGTGGAGTGCTTTATGGTGGAGTGCAAAAGAGGAGCTGTTGGAGGCGGCCTGCGGGAGCTGAACGCTGCCCCAGAGCCTTAGCTAATGCTCTGCCAAGCAGCAGTGAAGATGGCTGCCAGCGGAAACCACTCCATCCTGCAGAAAAGTACCAGTGGCTCCAGAGTGGGGTATGCTGTGGAGCCAAAATGGGCTGGGAACCTGCCAGGTCCCCCATCACCTTCTGCTTCCACAGGAGCTGAGGAAGATGCAACTATAGACGGGCTGTTGCTTGAACCGACAAGAGAGACGTGTTTCTTTGAGCGGTCCCTCCCTGGAGGGAGAGGAGAGGGTGCCAGGACTGACCTATGCTCCGTATGTCAATGGTCACATCCACATAGCCGTGCTCAGCGCTGTGGTACATGGCCTCCTTCAGGGCTTTCAGCTTGGCCTTGCTGTTGCGGCTGGGGCCGGGCGGGGGCTGTTGCGGCTGGCGCAGAGCGGAGCTGCCGCCGAGTCAGGCAAGTCTGTCCCCTCCGCCAGAATCTCCTCCAGTGACAGAATATCGCTCTTCTCCTTCTCCGGCTGAGCAAGCAGCTTACGAAAGACGTTCCTGTCAATCACAGCACGACAGAGAGAGGGAGAGAGGGAAATAGAGGGCGGGATAGCAGAATCATCGGCTAGGCTTTCGTTATGGCTGAGATACTTGCTGCGATGTGGCAAGTTAGGGCACCTATCCAGGAATTACTCCAATTAACGGTAGGACCAGCTGAGAGCAGACCTGAGGCAGTCACCGCTCCTGCTAGCCCACCTGCATTGCCTGGGCCACGTCTGCAAGATGCTGTTGTCGTGACAGGAACCATACAGATGTCGCACGAGTGGCGGCATCTCGTGGGAACAGAGACCCGTGAGCTAAACATGACTCAAGACTTCTTCCCACAATCAGGGAAGGACGAGGTGCCTCTGGACAAGCTCTCAGGACTTTCACCATGGAGGCCACTTGAGAAAGGACCTGCCTGGAGCTACCAAAAGCACCACCACTCGATTAACACTCAAAGCAGTCTGGGAAAGCTGGAGCAGCTAGACATTCAACGAGGCCAGTCAGGGCAGGTTCAAGCACGTCTGGGACTACTCTGCAAAACCACTGATCCAGCTGGGCCATCAAATAGCAAAGCCCAAACTCAGAGACTCAGTGCCCTCAGGTTCATACCAGCACAACCTCATCGATCTCAACAGAGTCACTCTCGGTTTCTGCAGATGTGAGAAGAGAAACCAGGGACGGGCTGGCTCCCATCCCACCTCCCTCATACTCCAACGTCCTCCCTGCACCTGCTCAGACCCCTGTGTGGGGTGGCAGCGGGGCATGGCACACCCCAAACAAATTTGGGGCAGAGAGGGAAGGAGGAGGGAATGTGCATGAGCAGTGTACAGGTAGGAACGTAAGAGCCAGGGCCTGTGACAGGCACAGCCAGCAGCCAAAGCCAAGGAGAGCCCCAGGTCCTCCTTGGGCACGCAGCTCCCACTCACGCCGGCTGGCAGCAAGGCCAGAGCAGTGAACGTGAGACTCCAATAACCAAACTGTCCTCTCTGTCCCAGGGATCCCTCGCAGGCTCCAGATGGGCAGCGTTGTGCGAACCCGCCCTGACATGCCATTAGCATGTTGTTAGACTGGCAGCTTGCCTCTAAGCAAACAGACGGTAGGTACTGTCTCTAACCTGTATCTATGTTCCTCTGGATGGCTACAATCAGAAAAGTAGGAATGTGAAGGTCATAATACTAATCCATTACACTGCAGTCAACTCCTGAGCGTTGCAAGATCATGCATGCCAGGTGCTCATTTCATTACTTTTTTTTTTTTAAATTTGCAGCATACATACAACATTAAGGCACACGGGACTTTACAGTAAACACAGATGCAAAAACTCTGTTCAACAACAATTAAGGTTGCAGCAGTACAGACACAATCCGCCCCAAACCTGAGAAATATGTCAACAAGAAATTCAGAAGGAATGTCTTTGGCATTCCTTCTGCCGTCACATCAGCTACCATTTAACGAACATCACATTGCAACACACCACGAGGAGTCCCCTTCCTTTTTTTTTAAATCAGCTATCAAAAAGCAGCTTGTACCACCAGCTGGTTAAATTCACATGCTATCAAAAAGCCTTACATCTCTGCTCAGTTGGTGGCATGTTCAATTGTTCATGCAGAACTTTCACTCGTCTGCTCAAACCAGATGCCCAGGCAAAAAATAAGCACTTGAAGGATGCCACTAGACTTGTTCCCACTCTACCTGTGTCCATGTGCAGCAGCCTGACTGAAAGAGTTCATGTCACCTTGAGGAGTCATGGAAATGCCGTTCCTGTACATTGTTCCTATCATGGGGTCAGCTCCTCGCTCCAACAGCAAACTGACCAGTTCAAAATTTCCTGCAAGTCAAGAGATGTATTTTTACTTCTTTTAAAATCCAGTATTTGCTCACCTAAACCACAGATCCTGACGGAAGAATTCATTACAGTGGAAGGAGAAAGTCCTTACCAGCAGCTGCTGCCAACTGTAAAGGAGTTTCAGAGTAATTTTCCTCCCCATGCTCCAAGGAACCTTCTACCTTTGCTCCAGCATCCAGCAACAGCTAGAAAGAAAATTCACCATTTAGAGCAACTGGGGGTATCACAGCCTTCAGAGTTCATGAACAGTGACGAATGAGAGTCTAATGCTTCTTGTTATCTGCAAACCAGATAGGATGGAAACAAGTGACATGCAAATTCTGCCCATTGTTTCACAGAGGCAAACTGATTCCTTTTTTCGCTCATTTTAAGCTGCCAGACACCAGGAGCACTAGTGTCCAACTTCAGAGCCAAAAAAGGTGTAACCCAGTGTTTCTGAATGGGAAATGGGGTAAGGTCAGTGTTAGGAAGTAATGCGCTGAAGATGGAAGTCCTGAAAATCAGCCCGACAAGCATCCTTCCTTCACAGTCTTCTAGAAGCCCAGCACCATCCTAAAATGGATCAGATTTCAATTGCCTCCATCTTTTATATAAAGACACGGCCAAAAGAAAGGCAATTCTTAAGAACCGATCGCAGTCCAAAAGCTGTGATCTCCATCGGGGACACTTCCACATAAATAACAACAACGCTGAAAACAAAAGTGGCCAAGGAGAGCAGGATGGAGCCTGCGCTCCAGCCCCCTCTTGGCCATTTCTGTCTCGAGGCCTTCACAGTTTTGGCGCTTCACTAACTGTGCCATAGACACAGCTGTTTTGAAGAACGAACCTTCTCGACTTTTGAGATGCCAAAGCACAGAACCAGCATATCCCACGCAATGCCTCACTGGGGTAAGGAGAGTGAGTGCTTCTCCCCCTTGGGAGCAGCACAAGGGCTGTTGTCCACCTCTCCCCCACCAAGGCAGCGGTTTTGTGTTTGCTAGAATATTATAGTGTAAGAAAGTGTAATGAATGAATAAACAAACATATAAAACAAGTGGTCAGGAAGGAGCACAAGGAGTTGTCAGACTTTCTTTGGTGCAACTTTGCTTTAAAACTGTCCTGTTTAAACCTCATATTGGTTAAGGTTTGAACACCGTATTCGTTATATAATAGGTCTATTATATATCAGTACACTCTAGAAGAAGCAGAAGTAACCAATATGAGTATGACAAGAGGATACTGGTTTGAGATGGATGTAATTAGAACTGAAAAGGAGAAACAAAAGAATGAGATGCAGGTAGGGAAATACAATAATACCTGAACTACAGGAATATGTCCATGCAACACAGCAAATGTCAGAGCTGTCCAATGGCGGGTCTCAGGGTGGACGGATGGGTATTTATGAGCAGTACTGACAACCTACAAACAAATTAAAGTTATTTTTTTTAAAGACCTATATGTAATAAAATTCAACCTGCCTGAAAGCCAGGCATGTGAGGGAGTAAGTGAAATAGAAAACCTGGGAAAGGTGCTTTATAAAATGATTGGCTTCATTTTTTTCCTGCAAAAATTTTCTCAATATTAAAACTGTCCATGCTGAGTTGACAGCTTGAATAGTGTTCATACCAAATGAAGTCTTTTTACCAACTACTGTAGCTCCATCTAAACCACTGGCCACCAGATACTTTTGCACAAGGTCAAAACATCCACAGCTGGTTACAGCAGCACACACTGGGGAAGCAGGGATGGATCAGGACGCTCTACAGCTAAGGACCACTCCCACTGACTTCTCCAGACCATGTATCAACAGCCCCGGATCTTGGGATTGCTCCAGGCCCAAAGAAATTTTTTCCACATAAATCAGTATGACTTCTGTCACTGCCGTCATGAAAGACACAGCACGAGCCCTGCGCTAGAGTTCACAACTGTGCGTCCAGGCTCCTCCTCTCCCACGGGAGTAAAAAGACAGCTGAGAAGTGATGGGGCAGAGTGGTATTTCAGAGATGTTTTACGAAAACTCCTTTTTACTGCTGTCTCCTGTCTGAGTTGAGTTAAAAGAGCGGGGTGGTGACAGTTAAAAGAGATGCAAACTATATCCTTAGAAAACAAAATGGTATTTTTCACATTGCTTGTTCCATTTTCTAAGCCGTAGTGCCTGGTGCCTCTAATGTAGACATTGGGGAAGATGAATAACCACTCTTTGCTTCAGCTTCCCTGTCTTAAAAATGGGGGTATTAATATTGATGAGGTTCACAGAGATGGTAAAATCTAATGAACGTTTGCAATCCGAGACTGCACACTCGGACGGAGTGTGACACTAAAATTCAAAATCTTATTATTGATCTTCAGAGGAGAACTAAAATTAGAATAAAAGATGCACCATCTCTCTGTCTCATCAGCCAGCTATGCTTTCGCTACCTTGTCTGAAGTACTTTTATCCATGTAGGGGAGCAGGGCCAGTTATTAAATGCTTGGTTGCATTAGCAGCTCACATTTCCAAGCGCCACATGCAGTGTTTTGCTAGAAGTGCATGACCAGGCCCTCAGTCCCAAGGACATGGATGAGGGCAAAATCCGAAAAGCCCATGCAGATCCCCCAGCTTGCCAGAGGAGTGGATCTGCACCAGCACCTGGCTGTTATCGCCCAGATTTGCCAAAAAGAGAGCTCAAAGTGCCAACAGGAGAAGTGTGCCGGTGTCTGAGCACAGGCATGGGGCTTCTTTGTGTCTGAGATTGCTCAGAAGGAAGAGGATTGAGCAGCTTGAGCCTTGGCATTTAGGCTGGGGAGCAAGAGCAGTGGAGGGTGAGGATGGGCAGGGTCCAGTGAACGCATCCAGCTCCTCCTCCAGCACAGATTCCCACCACTGTTCGGGGCAGCCCACGGCAAGCGGCAAAGAAAATGAAGTCATTTTAACTCCTTTGCTCCTTTTTTTTTGGTTGAGAGTTCTCTCCAGTCGACACAGTGTTGGCAAAAGACCTGTGGTTGACCAAGCTTTTAAGGCCTCAGTTGAGACTTGCTGAGCAGCTACAGGTCCCACTGACTCCACAGCGAATTGCAGCTTCTCAGCACATCTGGAAATGAGTCCATTTTCACTAAAGATTGGCAATCAAAAGGGGAGGCACCCAGCATTTGAGGCTACTTTTGGAAACATATATATATATATATATAACTGATTTGCAAAGTGAAAGGGGGAAAATGATGCAGGCACCTGACAGAGTATTTATTTTTGTTCATGGTTGATTTGCCTTTTTTTTGCCATAATTGCCCAATTTGCACAGTTGGTTGTGGTGTGCACAAATCATCTTATAATTGCACACCATAATTATTCACAGTTCTTGTCCCAAAGTGTTTTCATTTGATTTTAGAGCAAACACTCGACAGAAATGAATCAGGGAGGTTCACATTCCTCACTGGAGCTGTTCTCTCAGATGTCAGCAGTTTCACGAAGACAAAACTGTTTAAATTTGCATTTGGTTCAAGTCTGAAAGATTACTGGGGCAACTGGGAGGACTGCTCCTAATGAAAACTTGTCCTAGGAAACAAATAATGCGATCTCACCTCTGAGCCACAGGCAGGGTAAAAGGAGATCAGTCTCCACGCCCATCCAGTCTTTGGTGTGCCTATCGAGAGTGCTAACAAGGGTTCAGGTATTCAATTATTGCCAGCTCAAGGGTGGTGTGCTTGAATTTGGGAAGAGGTGAGAGTAGAACTGAAATCATCAGCTGATTTCACATAAGCCACCGACCAGCAATCAGATAGTAACGACTATCAGGCTCTTACAGGTGACATACATTTCTACTTTTAAATTAGATTTTTTTTAAAGTGCAAAACGTCTGGCTGAAAGCAGTGACTACAATTTATCAGCTCGCTCAAATCCAAACAGAACAGATGGAACACAGATAAGTGAAGCAGACAGCTTAATTTACTCATGACCTCAACAAATTGAAACTGGAATCATTAACAAATAGTTCTTCCGCGGATTTTCAAGCGGCTCTTTAAAATGTACATACCTGCATTGCACAGAGTCGGACCACAATCTGCTTGGTGGACAGATTGTGTAAATTTGTGATGTGCATTCATCAAAGAGACATTTATATTCTGGAAGCTTCAAGCTCCTTATCCAACAGTTTTTAGCCCAAGGCACTTTGTAAAACAAAAGAGTGGAACCTACATTGCACTCGTGTGCTGGGGATGCTTAGCTGGAACATCCCAATGCACAGAAATGCTCAAGCTTTGGCAGGTTATCAGACGGGTATTACTTTTACCCTCTTCATTTTAACTTAGCTGAGATTCAGGGAGTCCTTCCAATATCATTAGAGCTGTGCTCCATGCTGGTGCTAACGCCTGTATTCATTTGCAGTGTGCAAACACAACTAAATCAATATTACCTGTGGGGTAAGTCCAATGACTTGACCTCTTCTGTGCAGTGAATCCCAATATTAACCTAATGCAGTTTGATTTCACTATTCATTTCAAATGGTGCCGTCCAGGTTAAGACAAATTTATTTTCTTTCTAATTCTTGGGATTTTCCCTCCGCTACAGCTTCAAGGGATAGTTTAAGATGTAAACAAATAACAGAACAAAGATACAACCAACAAAAAGTCCTCACCTCAGCATTCAGATCTGCTCCAGCATCTAGCAGCATCTGCACCATAGCCTCATCACCCCTGACACAAGCATACATCAGTGGAGTCATGCCCTAGTCATTTTTTGGAGTTAAAAAACAAAGGAATTGACAAATTTAACACAGAACTCTCTTTGATTTTTTAAACAATTATTTAAGTATATATCATCAAGACTAACAGTATGTATTTAGAGAAAGCCATTACCTCTGTTACAGACATGCCCCTCAAACTAGCAAAAGCCAACCATTTTTGTAAAATCTCCATTTTTGTTGTCACTTGGGTTGACTGTGGCTTGTTTGTTTTTTTTTTTTTCATGTTACCCTTGGCATCCTCAGCATGGTGCGTGAAACTAGGCTTGTCAACCTTACCTCCATCTTCATATATTAAACAAAGCATCTTTGCCTTTGGGGCCCCAGCAGAGAGATGTTTTTATCAAAGAAACTGTATTTCCACTGGTATTTTGAAAAGACAATAATTTTATCCAGTTTTCTATGATCATAGTTTCATAAAATCTAACTAACTTTTTAATTACCAAGACCCTTTAAAAACATCCCAACCTCCTCTTCAGACAAGTTAGATTTGGGCACAGCTTTTTCAACACAGATACCATAAGAGGCTGGAAACGTAAAGGCTTTGTATAGCACTCCCTAGCAAACAAGGACTTCATTTTAAATGAAATGCCAGACAGCATTGTTCCATGTTGCTGGCTCTAGGAAAACATGGCCCTGTTTGGAGGAAAAGTAGATTAAGTGACCCTTCACTACAGAACCACCACAATGCAACTTGTATTAATCTGTAATACCTGCTGCGGCTGATCACCACTTCCCTTAAGATAAGTATTACTGTGGCTGTGGTAATGAGTTCAGATGAAACCATGAAAAAAATCATTAAATCTACTGTAAATTATAACAGAAAAAGCTGCTTATTAAATACAGTAGGGGGTGTTGATCAACAGCTACCAGTTGTTTTGCAGTAAATCTACCGCAGCATGCAGCTACCTCTAATGCATGTTTATAGCCTACCTTGAGGTCCCCTGGTAAATTTGCTGTCAGACGATAGCCTGTTTGCTGTTTAACCTGAGTGCTGCCATGAAGTGAAATTATTTTCAGAGAAACTGGAGGTGCCCAGCACCGCCAGACACAGAGCTGTGACGCTGCTCTTCCTAGCAAGAGCCCAGCATCACTATTTTTGCTGAACTACCCCATTTTTCCTATTTCAATGCAGGGCTAAAGGTAGTGGGTGCTTAGGTACGTAAGGGCTGCCCTTGTAGAGAAAATACAAGTTAAGGTTTGTCCCTGCAAGGTACTTAGAGCCCCCTTGAAACACACTGAGCATTTCACAGGATCAAATCTGCAGTGTACGTATGGAGATACAGAGTAAGGGAACAGGCATTTGGGGCCTCATGCCATTAGCAAGAAAAAACAAGTTCACCCCAGGCAAGGAGAGTTCTTGGGTGACTTGAAGTTACTTGCAAAGAGATTTTGAAACTACTTCAGCTACAGTCAGTAGCAAAACATTTCCTTTGGCAGTCAATAAACACTACAGGAACAAACAGCACCATGAGAATTACAAAAAATTATTTTTGGGCCTTGAAAAACGGGGATGAGATAGCAGCTTAAAATTAAATACATGTTCCTTCAACTATTATTTCAATTTCTGTAAGTGGCGTCATTCGATTATTAAACCAAGTGTTTAGCACAAGGAGTCTAATCAGATCTGAATAAAAGAATTTGAAAGCCCCATGCTGGGGCTCCCCCCTGCAAGATGCAGCACGTGGGCAGCTGTGGCGAAGAACCCCACTGCAATGCCCAGAGCAAAGGGTCTGCCTGGGGACCACACGGGACATTTCGGCCCTGGTGAAGCTGAAGAAGGACTTACCACTGAGTAAAAGGGGCCCAGAACGCCATGCTGCAGTATTGGGGCTTTAAGGAGTTAAAGAGTTTCTAACCTCCCCTCCCCTTGCACTGCTGCCCCTGCTGCTTTTGCCTCTGCCGGTCCCCCAGCCTTGCGCTGCAGCATTGCTCAGCCCCCTCTCTTTGTACGTGGGAGGAATGGATTTTTAATGAGCCCATCCTTAGTGTTCAACACACACACAGGAACATGGTAACAACATGTACAATCAACACTAAGGGCATTTGGCTTTTGGCAAAATAAAAAAATGGCTTTTTTTCTTTCAGCCTTGTATCACTTAGGGCTCTGTCCTACAAGATGTGGGATCCTACAAGATGAGGGATGTTTCATCCAGTGAAGCATTTAAGCACAGGCTTCACTTTCACTCAAATAGGATGTAAGCATATGTTCAGAGTTAAGCATATGATTAGGTACTTTGATGAATCAAGCCAGAAAGTTCCCAGGTTTTAGCCTAGAGGACAGAGGAAATATGCTGTGAAAAGTTTCCAGGTTCAGACTAACTTAAAATAATAATAATTTTTAAAAGTATCATGTATGAACCTTGGAATGAGCTCTCTGATACAGTCTTTTGGGGAGGAGTACTGTTCTTTTCTAAAGCTCTTCTCAAACAAATCCACAATATGGACTCAGACTTAAGCTCCTGAACAGCAACATAACTCACATTCCCACAGCAGCTTTCATCTCAGAGGACCTGAACCCACTGACAACCCAGCTCCTGTCCCAAGCAACCACTTCAGGGGTGGCAGCCACCTGCTTCTTGCCAAAGGGGATGTCACAGCTCTGGGAACATTCAGTGGCACTTTCATCGGGGGCACCAGAAAATTCAGGGAAACTCCATTTCAAAAGGAAATGGTAAAATCTGTGGCCATCGTTTCCCTCTGGGAAGGGGGAACCACCTCGGTGAGCATCACAGTCCAATAGACTGCTGCCAGTAGGCAGCCACAGAGGCAGGTTTATCCCCGGACACAACCACCAGCCTCATGGAGATGTAACTCCAGGGAAATTTAGGCTCCTCAGTTGGTGCACATTGGCCACGTTGACTAATGGAGTGGTGACATTGCAGAGGGACTTTCATGTCTAGAAGGTCAGTTCAAACCGGGCTCAACTCAGTTAAAGACTGCCAGCGATTAACTATTGCCTGACAGGGTTTGATGGTGCACATGACATGCATTGCAGACCCCACGGCAGTGTTAAGTGGAAGGACATTCACCTCACAAGGCCCTGCCCCACACCACTGTTCATGGCACTGAAGCAGTTTTAAGTATTCAGATCAACGCTAAGCTCTCTTGGGATCTCCTCCTGGCTTCAGCCAATTCAGTTCACTGTTAAGATGACTTAAGGGGATACAATCGCCCTCATGCTGAGTTACCTCACTACTAACAAATCAATACAACTCGAAAAGGCCAAACTTAACATAGATGTTCACCTGGCGGTGCTTTAACTCAATGCAAAGTAATGCAGGGAAAGCATGTTTAGTTGAAAGCTTGGGCTCATTTTCTGTGATAAGCAGGCAAAACTGTCACATTTCACAGTTGCTTCTTTACGTTTCTATCTCGTTACCTGTTCACTCATGCTGTTAATCCCATCCGGCCCCAGCAAGGATATGGCTTGTTTAACCAGATCCGTTCGGCCACAGTTGAGCATCCGGAAACCCAGGTCCTGCTTGAACTTCGCTTCAGTGGCAACTGCATCCAGTTTCCGAGACGCACAAAAACAGTCGTCGATTCTGTGGATGTGAGAAATAAACTCCCTCAGAGGACAGTCAGAGGACAGACCTCACTGTCCCTAGGAAAATAACACTTTGCCCTATCTTTGAAGGATGTAGGTCATGCACATACTCATTCTCCTTTGACCTGTATGTTTCAAGGGAAGCGCTGAATGGGAAATGCTAATGCAAGCTAATGGAGATTGCCCTTGGTCTATCTTTCAAGGGACAAGCCATACATTTTATAAAAAATTTGGCAAAAAAACACAGCTTTCACTTGATTTTGCTTCCCTGTTTAAGCAATGCACAACACATTCTCACCCCAAGTTGTCTCTCTGCACGGCAAGGTGATCCAGTCCCCCTGCTCTCTGAAAAGTTTCAGTGGCTTCAGTAAGCTTTGAACTTACATCAAATGGATGTATAATCATTGACAATACAACAAATGGAAAATAATGTCACTCCAAGCACCTTCAAGGATCCTACCAGCACAGCCCCAGTAACGGGGAAGCCTTTTTGGAGCAGAAAGTGCAAGTCACAGAATCACAGACTGGCTGACGTTGGAAGAGACCTCTGGAGGTCCTCTGGTCCAACCCTCTTGCTCAGGCAGGGCCACCTGCAGACAAGCAGGGCACCATGCGATCAGGGAGGAAAAAGCAATCTTGCCAGGTAAACGTGGCAAAATGCCACAAATCCTTGCTGGCTGTGCATAACAGATGGGATGTCATTCTTTTAAGGTCTTATTCAAAAGATCCCCAAACTGTAAACTGCTCAAGTTATCCATTTCAAATGGAAGAAGGGCTAGGAGTTATTTAGCCAGCACGTGAATCTGCAGCTCCAGAGAGAGCCAGGCAATTGCAATCTGATGTTTATCCAACTCAGTTTCATCTTATTAAAAGACAGATTTGCTTTTGTTTCATGCTGCGGAGTGTCTGGGGCAGAGGGTGGAGTCCAAATCCACAGCACTTTTGGTGTGAACTCGGATAAAGGACTGTTTGGAAAAACATCACTTTCATTATCCAAAAATGCTAGGTCAGAAAATGAGGGGCTACTTATGAATGAAAAACAAAATAAAGATCAAAAGTGAAAAAGTCAAACATACATCAAATATTTGGTTTCTATTTTATACACTAAAAAATGCAGCAAACCAAAAGAAAAATATGAACGGTACATCATTATCATTTAAATTTCTTCTTCAAGATGCTTTATCAGAGCTTTATAAAATATATAACACTGCTTAATATTTAACAGCAATAGGCAATGAATATGCTGTTTATATAGAAGCAGTGGTATGTAGTAATAGCTACCACCCTTCCTCTTTCAACAGAGGAAGGAAAGTGAGATGAAAAATACAAAATATTTTGATCAAAGCTTCTGCAGGACTTAGTACTGAAACTGGCATCTGAGCTCAAGCTTGCTCTCTGCTGTGTTGGGCCATGACCAGTCTGGAAGACAACAGATATTTTGTTGATGTTCATTCTGCCTGCTCAGTTTGGGTTTTGACTACTAAAAAGTTGATGTCCTAAGAATGCAAACAAGGTATGTCTGGAGTATCATTACCCAGGGGAACAAGGATGGCGCTTCATGACAACAGTGTGCTGCAAGATTAATGCACAACAGTCAGTCACAATAAATACACTGTAACAGCAATAACAGATTCCGTACCAGTAATATGCCTACAACAGAGATGAAGAAAGCAACGCATAGCAAGGCTGGGTTTTCTGCAGTAGTTTCTGAGCGAGTTTAAGGAAAAAGCAAAACCAGCACAGATATGCAGGGCTGAGCTCAATGACACCAAGATCCACAGGAGCAATTGCGGCTTTAACACGTTCACACCGTATGGCACATTGCTGACACAAGAACTACAGCAGCATTTGGTACTTGTTACCCCCATAGCATGAGATGTCAGAGATCATCTGTGCCCTCCTTTACCATACGGCATAGATAAAGCATGCTCAGAAGTTCGGTGGTGGGGGTTTTGGTGCACGGAGAGAGAGTCTGGACCTCCCTGCTCCAGCTGGCCATTTCCAGATGACTCTGGTCTGAAAATGAGCTGGTTCCTCAGCAAAGTGCAGCTATGGAAAAATCTAGACATCCTCTGAGGACTGCAGAGGTGTCTGCTACTATGAATCATTGCCTGTGTTAAGTCACTGCTTCATCATTTGTACTGAGGTATATAACATACACTCTGAACAAAATGGGTCAAATTCAGCACTGGCAGAAACAGGCAGAGCTTCACTGACGTCAGCCCAGCTTGGTGCATGCAAAACACTAGTTGACTATCTCCTCTTTAAAAACAGCAAGATTTTGACCTGGGTTGCACAGCCACACAGGGAGGAAGGAGGAACAAGGACCTACCTCACCTATCATGTATGGGCTGCCCAGATCTCTACCCTGGCGTGGGTTCAAAAATTACTTCTCCAGGTAACTCCTCCATGAGTTGGCTCTGGTCCCCTAAAAGCACGTCAGTTCACCTGCTTATGGCCAAGGAAGGGGACTCATTAATTACTGCTGATATTGGGCATGGGCAAATTAGTACTCCTTAATCAAGTTGGGGGATAAGGGTCTTGGTCCAAGGGCTCCGGGATGCTACAGCTGTACAAACACTGCAACACCAACACCGATGCAGAGGAGTGCCTGAGCTGCACAGCCGCTGGGCAGCACTGACGAAAAGGGATCTAGACCAAGTACCACAAAGCAAGAAACCATAACTTAGTGCCATTACCAGTGGCCCACTGTCTTTTTATACCCCAAAAAGGACCCATCGTGAGTGCGTTATAGCCCTGATTTACAGGCAAGGGATACGATATGGCAAAATTTGACATAGGTCATTGTTGGTGCCACCATTGTCCTATGTTGACTAATAAAATGGATAATGATCTTACTGGGGAGTTTAATAAAACAAGAGCATGATGCAAGGGAAAGGAACAGGGGATGCATCAGAAGAGAAAGCATAGCAATGTCTCGAAAAGCCAGAGAGATGAATGAGTTCGGGAAAAGGAGATTTAACATGCACAGATAAAAAGCAGTGAAGAGACAGATCAAAAGTGATCAGGAACTACAAGTACAGAATAGGAGAACACAGCATCACTTTTAACACTGGAGAAAGCCAACTGGGAAGATGGTACAGCAGACAGACTGAGCAGTCTCATTTCAAAATGAAAGCTGAAAAATAAAAAAAACAAAACCCAAATCTATCAAAAAATCAACCCTAAGCCACCACAGCACTGCATTTGCTCATAAGTCCTCTTTCATACCATTAACTGCATGATGTTGATTCATAGAATGATAAAATCGTTTAGCTTGGAAAAGACCTTTAAGATCATCAATTCCAACCGTTAGCCTAACACTGCCAAGTCCACCACTAAACCATGTCCTTAATGCTCTTCTCCCCCTCCTCTCCCTGGGGGCACTCTCAGGATGGCAGGACATCACCACCCTGGACGCTAGCTGGGACAGGTGACTTTGAGGTCCCCGAGAGGTGATACAGTGACAAAGGTAGGACTGGCCAGCATCCTTCAAGGCTGATAGCCTCTCTCAAAAACATTGAGGCTCATAGCCTCTCTCAAAACATTGAGCCCGTTCTGGATTGCCCTCCAGCAACCCGTGGGGCTGGGCAGGCTCCTTGGCCCTACCACTGCTGTACACATGCTCCCACTCCCAGAAATGAGAAGTAATATGCTTGAATTAATAACACACGGATCACAGTCCCCGTGCTCAACAGCAAATCCAGCCCTCTAATTCAGGGGTTCAGTCACACAGCCTGTAAACTCCCTAACTGGGCCCTCCCTACCTTGAATCAAGCAAACAATTGCCTTTATAAGTAAAAGGAAAATTAGAAACAGGTGAAATATTCTTGATTTTGTATTTGTAGCAAAGCTGTGACCACATTTTTTAACTCACAATGCAATATAATTTTCTCCAAGTCCTCTTTTAATTCCTCACAGACATTGCTTCTACAGCGGTTATCTTCAAGATCATTACAGTGTTGCCACTGCAGATAATTAACTTTACTGTGGCTTTATATGGGGGATGCCATGGTAACATTAATTATTTGCAAATGGTCACTGTCAAATGCTGCACGGTGACCATGACACTCTATCATAGTCCAAAATACTCAAACCTCTGAAAGGAGTCAAAGATAATCTTCTTCATTTATAATGGGACCTAGCAATACAGCAAATTATTTTTATCTTTTCCCACACTGACGTTACAAAAACATAATGCAGCACTTCTACAGCAACGGTTTAAATGTAAGGTTTGTTTTGTTTTTTGGTTTTGGTTTTTCTTTTTTTTTTTTTTTTTTCATTTTCACTCGGACTGGCTAAGATAGGGTTTGTGCCGATCTTTAATAAATTACTCATGGATTGAATACATTTGGGAAAACAGATGATTCAAAGGCAAAGTGTTTCCATTGTAACTGATAGACACAGCAGCTCTCTTATTACATAGCTTTTCAATTATTTGTTCTTTGGGAGGGGATTATTGCTATAGTCAGTAGTAGACAATTAAAAAAAAAAACAACAAAATAAAGCAATGCTCTGTAAATGTTACCAAAAAAAAAAGTAAGAACATCCTAATCATGTTTTAAGTTCTACGTGCTGGCATAGCACACTAATAGTTGATTTAAAATAAATGGAGTGCAGACTACGATGAGCAGCAGGACAAATGCTCCCCTCCACTGAAAGGCACAGATCATCATCCTGATAGCCAAGCACCAAAACCTTGTTTGTCCACCTGGGACTCCATCACCAGCCCTTTCAATTAAAAGAATGATAATCTATTAATTAAATCCATCTTTTTTTGCTCTGTGGAGTTTATTCAGTCTGTCTCTGTCCTAAATATGAATGAGGTCTTGAGTCGGAAATTATAGTTCAGCTGTTTGGAAGTCTGGAAGGAGTCATATTTTAGCCAGCAATATACATGCATTTGCAATGCTGAATTTCTTGGGGTCAGGGTTCACAGTTTTGATCTGGGTATGCACAGCCCGTAGCACAAAAGGGTCCTGTTCCTTGCCTGGGGCT